AAGTGCACTGTGGAGCACCATCACAATGAGGAATGCAAAGATCTGGTGGTGATGGACAAGCGCATTCAGGTATCGCCCTCTCTCACGTCTGTCTTGTTCCCTGGTTGTTGTGCCTGTGTTTTTTTGTGCCTGTTGTGCTTGCCTTTGTAACTGCATTGGAAATTTGTGATTTATTTATTCTGTCATTTGTTTATTATTGTTTATGTAATATTTTTTAGTATATATTTAGTTTCTTTAGTCACTACACAGTGTGCAGTAAAAGAGGTTATAGCAAAATACCAAATTGAAATCAGGTTGGGGTGCTGCAGATGAGTTTGACTCTCTCTTGCTCTGTGGAGTGACAAGGTCTTTGTTGCTTGGGACAGTCCTCTGGTCATTGACTATTGCAAGAGTGGAAGTCTAGCTGATAGTCCCAGTCAGCAAAGAACCATTAGCCTTGTGTTTTCAATCTGTACCCTACATGATTTCCTGTATTGGTTTCACTATGCTGTGCTATTTTTTCAGCTTGTGAATGTAATAGTTTTATTTGATATTGTAAAAATGTATGACCACTCAAAGTAGTATAGAGCATTAACTATCTGTACTTCTACTGAGCTTCTTATTTCAAGTATTAACCATACATACAGAGAACCACAGCAGGTGCACATATTATGTCTAGCTTTAGGACACACCTAGAAGGATCATTGTCGAAATGTGGTGTATACTCACACAATCATTGTCTTTATTTCTCTCTTTGGTATATAATTTTTTTTCTAAGTAATATCAGGGGATTGTAGAGGATACTAAAACACTGTTAGTGTAACCTTCTGTCCCTTGATCATCTTACAGTGGTGTCGTTCATAAGTAATCCTGTACTTGATTACGAACATGTTGTAAGTATGCCAAACTCACTGTGTTTTAAGGAGATTCAGACCTTTGCAGTGCCTTTTGCTGTGTCAGGTGTAAGTACTCGGTTGAGGTAAATAGAGTAGAAAAGTAGAATATGTTGTAAAAGATACTGTATAATATTTGTGTTTGCAGAGAAAGAGAGTTGATTTTTTTAGTGTTTTAGTGAAAGGAAATTAGTACCAACAAATTGTTTAAATTTAAAGTGGTTATTACATGAGGCTTAAAACCTTAATCTTTGGACTCTGAGCACCAGTGTCCAGAAAAAAGTGCTACTGCACTTTTTCTTAGACACCTACTATTGACTGAGATCTTAAAAATGCACAGGGTTTAGGACACTGTAATGAATTATTTAATTATGAAATTTGATTTTCAAAATTATGTGTTATTTAGGTATTTCTACTTCCATCACTTGATAAATATGATAATAGATTCACTTTGAAAATGTCCTTGGAAACTTAAACAAAATACACAATAGGATATCTTTGGGAATTGTGATGCTGAAGTTCCCTTCTTAATGCCTGTTATCTTCCTCTTTTGCTGCAGAAGCCATAAAGAATGCCACATTTTTTGTTGCTATCTTCATTGTATGTTTTAAGTCAACAGTTCAGGACATGAGCTTGTCTGTGGATGTCCAGTGTCCAGTCACTGGGATTTTAAGCCTTATGTCATAATCCTTGAAGCTTTAAAGATGAATAGAACATGACGCATTTTGTTTTCTTTCTTTCTTTCTTTTAACTAGTTTTACAATATTTTTATTATTGATTTTCAGTATGTTCTAATTATTTCTTTTGATGGATTATAAGTGGATTTGGATATGTATTTTTCCTTGTTATTTGTTAGGGGAATTTTGGGAAACTGAATGACAAAAGCAGTTTTGATAACACTTGAGTTTTAATTATACCAAGGTTTATTTGATGCTTAGATAAGTAAGGATGGGTTTGTGGAAAGAATTAAGGTCCACAGAGGAACTCTCACATATTTATATATCTTAAACTTTTTTTTTTTTACTTTTTTAATTTGTAAGTTTTTTATGGTAAAGCTAATATTTAATAGCAGAGGGAGTTTGTTATACATTTGAATGTATAGAGGGTAGAGAATTTTAGATATGTACTTTGTGATATTAATTGTGTATCAAGGATGTTTTGATATTGTAGATATAGAGGTATATATTGTAGATTATGAGAGTGGTAGGAGTTTAGGGAGACATAGATTTGATAGTTGTAGGAAAGAATAAATAGTTGTTGGATATTCTCAAAATTATGGGTCTATCTTAGTAAGTGTATCTCACTGTAATTCTGATTGATGACTTCAGATTATAATAATTGCACTGGTATTTCTTAAATTTAGTTGTTATATTGACTTTATGATATATAAGATTTTGAAAGAAAAATCTACATTGGGAATTTCTTATCTCTGTAGCGTAGTAGTTTTAATAGGTGTCATTGAGTCTCAAAATCTAATGGCTCTAGGAATGTTTTGTTAGGAGCATAGTGATTACACAACTCTAACTGAGGGATTGCCAAGTTCAAGGTAGTGTGTATATATGTACTGCAATATGACTAGAACAGTGATGGGGTTTGTACAGTTTCCACAGTGTGCTCATTTCTGTTAA